GGTAACAAAAATAGCTGTGGAATTTATCTGTTAAAAAGACCATATTAGAAGCTTTGTGTATTTTAAGAACATAGACACATTCTGAAGAACAGAAGCAAGATTAAATCAAACACATTCTGCAGGACTTATTAAAGTTGATTCTCTTCAAATGTAGATCAAATTTTAATTATCTCTAACTATGATCTAGTTCTCAGCAAAGCCTATGTAAACCTGCATCTGAGATGTGTAGTGGTTAAGAGCATGGGACCGGGACTCAGAGGATCTGGGTTCTAGTCCCCGCTCAGCCATGGAGCCAACTGGGTGACTTTGGGCCAGTCACAGACTCTCAGCCCAACCTACCTCACAGGGCTGTTGTTGTGGGGATAAGATGGAGTAGGAGATGTAAGCTGCCTTGAGCCCTTTGTAGGAAAAAGGCAGGATATAAATCACAATATAAATAAATAAATAAATGTACAATCATATAATAGGATGCCTCCACATGAGAGAAAGAGATTCCTAGACATCAAATGCTACAATGTCATGTGAGAAACTTAAGTTTGGACTCTTCTCTCTGGCATGCTAGTTTTCCAGATACAGGAATTTCTTTGTAACACAGAAGAGTACTTGCTACATGATTCCCAATCTGCACTCCCTGTACACGAAGCCAATAGTCTAGGCACAGGTTTACTTCCGCAGTAAGAACTAGGACACTGCAGAATGTAAAGCTTTATGAATGGCTCTTCCCCCTACCTTTTTCTTCATTTCCTTCATAGGTGAAAATCCATGACCATGCAGATGCAGTTAGACTGCAATATCCATCATTCCTGGCCATTAGCAATGCTGAATGGGTCTAATAGAAATTGGAGTCCAACAATATCTGGAGGGGAACAAGTCCCTAACTGCTGCTGTATACCTTAAATCTACATACGCAAATATAGTCTTGCACCTCCACCCTGAAGAATCTTTGCACAGTATTGATCTATTGTAGGAAAAATAGGCCCAGGCTTATCAGACTGGAAAAATCTGCAGTAAAGGCATGTTGAAAATCTGTAATTTCAGAAGAAAGCCATGTGACACATAGACAAACTGAAATCAGAGGACTGCAGGTACTTTGTGTGCATAAACTGCATGCTCAGTTATGCCTGGAAATATACAAATTAACAACACATCAAGGTGGAAGCACTTAAAAATAGACTGTAGAGCCAGACAACATGAAAGATGTTGTGAATATGCATTAGAGAACACTAGAAATTAACAGAACTCCTAATGAGAACTAATCGGAGAGAAAATCTCAGAAATTTATATCTAGAATTCAGGTTAGAAGTAGAAAAAGGAGTCATCCGAAACTAATTTACTTGCATTTACCAGTGCAAATAGGGTTTAGAACTGAAGCTTTTAAAGTATGTGTTAATCCCTCAAATGTTCAACTTCACTACTGGCTAATGAACTCATGGGTATTCTGGGCCTGATCCAGAAAAAAAATGGATCAGGCCTAGAATACATGGAAGCATATTTCTTCTTATGCACATCAGGACTGATATAATACTCACCAAAGCCACATAGAACTAGATGGATGTTTCTTTTAAGTCAGATGCGATTCCCAAAGCCACTAATTGCTGCAAGTGGCTGGTTGTGTATAACTACAGTTGGAACCATGTTATTACATCTAAAGTTTGTGCATGTCATTTAAAGGGAGGAGGAGGAGGCAGCAGCAACAGAGGAAAAGTAAGTCTTCCTTGTCCTGGAGCATTCTTCCAAATCAGTATGCCCACCATTTAGATTTCTAAATAAAAAATTACTTAAAGGAAATGGATAAGTTTTTTTTTAAAATGGAGGTTAAAACACATTATCAACAAAGTTTGCTTACTTTCAGCATAACAGACATACCAATTATATAACAAAAGTGGAAATTAGTTGCTGAAGTTCAGCTGCTACCCAAAGTATTTAAGAATGACCTTCAATCAGTCCTTAACCTTTAGGGAACACCTAAGAAAAACCGCAGATAAATTAAAAACCAGAAACAATATTTCACCCAACCTTTCTGGCACCAGCTGGGGAGCAAGCACCACTGTCCTTAGGATATCAACTCTTGCCCTGGTATATTCAGTGGCTGAGTACTGAAGCCCTGTATGGTTAAATAGCTCTCATACAAAAATAGTGGACACCCAGCTTAATCACTCTATCAGGCTAATATTAGGAACAATTAAATCAACACCTTCTGAATGGCTACCGATACTATGAAACATACCACCCCCACACCACAGAAGACAAACAGCCTTAAAAAAGGAGTTGCAGAAATGTGAGGCAAACTAATTATAACCTATACACAAGGACAGCTACTACCAAATATCTAGACTCAAATCTCAGAAACTGCCATGGAAACTCAGACAACAATTAGTCAGAGAAGACTTTGACATCGAGACAGCATGGCACCAGGAGTGGGCAACTTCCAGTCTGGATTTGGGTAACCTACTGTCTGATCCAGCACAATGCTCCCATGGCAAACTGGATAGCTCTCAATCAGATTTGAACTAATCATGGCAGGAGCCAATACTGGAAACCCAAATGGGGGCTGGTGCACAATTCTGTGAAAATGGGAATGTCTCACAAACTCAACACCACACTGCAATGAAATGCCCCCTCAAAAGGTTTCCTGGCTCCCTGCAAGAACTACATCATCTTGAGGGTACTGCTGTCCAATGGCTAAACAACCTAGGCACTCAACCACAGGCCTAGCCATTTAGTAACTGCTCATGCGTAGCTTGATTTTATCCAGAATTTTATTCATCATTTGCATTGCATGTTTTTAAAATATACAGTCTCTGTTTTAAAATAATTTACATTTTATATATTGTTTCAGTGAACTTTTATGCAATAATGCTGCATACCTCTATGCCATATGAAATAATAAATAAATAAATCTAGATTTCTAACAGCTTTTCCACAAGCCAAAAGATTTAGGGTCTTCTTAAAATAGGTGATGAAGTGTGGACATCCACTAAAGTGACTGTATACAACAGCCAAATTTTTAGCGTGGTTTATCCCACATGCTCCAGGGCATCCTCTGCTGTCATGGAGAACACATCAGATTGCATTTTTAGTCAGAATTAAGCACATGGTAAACAGCAATCATTTCACCCCACCCCAAACTCACCCCATATTTGAAAGCTGCTTTATGCATGACTATTTCACTCCATGGAGATCACCCCAGTGTTAAAAAATCTGTGCACAAAGTCCAATGTAACAAATGCATATGTCCATTTTCCCCACATATAATTAGTGGAAAGCCACAACTATCATCACAAACATCCAGGAGTACTTAGGATTGATTTCCCCAATAACTCTGGCCAATGTCTACTCAACATGACTATATTCCCCATGACTGTGCAATCATCCCTGGGCACTCACAGAGCTTCATCACTTTGTGTGATCAGTGATTATACTGATCTCCACAAGCCTACCAATATTTTTGGGAGCATCTACTATTGAAAGAAGTCATGTGCTGCCAATTCATACAGCATGCCAGTTCACATGATCAAACAGCTCACCACGGCTTATTTAAACCATGGCAGCCATTCTGAATAGTCAAGGCACACCCACCACTTATATGTCCTCCAAATACAGGGACTTTGGTTATGCAAGGGTTAAAGGTGTCACAGCCTGTTTTGATCCCACAGCCCAGTCAGTATGTTTCTCCACTCTACTACAGAGAAATAAAACATGGAAGAGAGAAGCAGGCCCTCATCCTCCCTCACCCACAAGTACCAAGCTGGGCATAATTGTTGGTTTTCTGTTCATGCAAAGGCTAATTTCAACTATCAACTTGTTTGTCTTTGCAAGATAATCTGCCTTTATGCCAAGTTTTTAGAGTGGAGGAAGTCAAACAGCTTTATGATAAATCAAAATATTCTCCAGTAACTCCAGAAGAAGTGATATATTTAAAGGATTACGTTTTAAAGACTATTTTGTGCAGGGTACTATCCTTTATCCTCCATCATTTGTACCATCCTCTCACTTCCCTGTTTTGTAAACTCAACTGATTAGAATTAGCATGTTCTATTATCCAATCTCACACTTTACTTTATTAACTAAACGCATGCAGAGTGCCCGTCAAAACAGTTTCATCACTTCCTCTGTCTAGTTACTTTCCTATTTAGTGGCTGGGAAAGAAGGCAACAAATGCCAAAGAGAGAAAACAAGAAAAGAGAAGTTACACAAACACAGCAAAGTGCAAAATGGGGGGGGGGTGAAATAAAGAGTTCAGCAAGAGAGCACAAACTCACATCTGTTCAAACAGGAACTCAGTCTGTGCCCAAGGAGATGAGTAAGACTCAAGAAAAATTTAATTATATTGTACACATCCCCAACCTGGCACCTACCAGGCCCTACATCTCCAGCATTCCTGACCACTAGGGATTAATGCAGACTGGGACTGATGGAAGTTAAAATCCAAAACATCTGGAGAGCACAAGGTTGGGAGGAAGTCTGGGATAGGGCCCCTTTCTCAAACCATGGGGTAGACTCCTGGGAAGAGGTATAACATTGCGGAAGAGAAAGGACCTTGAGATACGGTAAACTGAAGGTCCCCATGGATGTGTGGGAGGGGAAGGAGAGATTACCTGCCCCAGCATCGCAACCTGAGCCAGGAAGAGCTGCTGCCTTGTTTTCGGTTATGTTCCTGTGCGCGCATGCTTTTTAGAAGGGAATATAATCAGGGGCGCCTTGTTTCTTCCCCTCCTGAAGCCGGGCTTGCCTGCTCGCCCCAGTGCCCAGATAGTCGTGATGAGGCTGCACGCGCCCGCGAGTGAGTGTGCGCTCACAATCAGCTACGGCGCAGCAGAGGGTGAGTGCAGGACTCGGGAGGAGGAAGAGGAAAGGCAGCACGCTGAAGGCAGGCGAAACTGCAGGGCAAGACTGGGCTTAACAACAACTACAACAACAAACGGCTTGAGGAGCTGGACTCGGCGAGGCCGCCCCCCCCCCCCCGCCTACCGCGCCCGGGGGCTGCAGTCCAAACGCACCTGGAGGGCGCCAGGCAGAGGATGCCTGGGATCCGCTCCCGTCCCCGACTCCGCAGCTTGAGGGCACGTCGGAAAAGGGAAGGCTCTGGCTCGCGCTTAGGCGCGCGGCTGGGAACGGAGAAAAGAGGGAAGGGGGAAAGAAGTGCGCAGTGGCTCACCATGACTCTCGAGAGCCGCTCGGCGGCGTCGCTTGTGCGCGGGAGGCCGGCGGGCTCCTCGGCGGGTGGCCTGAGTGTGGTGTCTCGGTGCCGGCACAAAGCTGTTCGGCTTGGGCAGGAGGCGGGGACGGCCGCCGGTGTCCCTCCCCACGCGGCCTCGCGCGTCACTGGACGGAGAAAGGGCGTGCGGGAGCGGAGCTGCCGCTTGGGGGGCGGGCACCGCCGCGGCCGGCGCAGCCAGGCTGTGATTGCGACCCTGCGCTCCTCTGCTCCCTTTCTGCAGGCCCGGAAACGAGGCCCAGGCACCTTTCCAGCCTGGCTCGAGTACCTCGGCCAGGCCTGCCCTCTCACAGCGCCCTCTGCTGCAGCGCGCCGGGCCGCAGGGACCGTCCTCCTCTTGTCCCCAGGCGCCCCAGCCCCGCTGCTCTGTCAAAAAATCGTGGAAAGGGCAATAGCGACGATAAATGCAGCAACTCAAGAAAGGGTCCCCCCAGTGGGATGGAGGAGCGCGTCCCGTGATTTCGTGATAAGGTCTTCTTAATTTAAGAAATTGTTAGATTTGTTTGAAATGTTTTAAAATTATGTTAATTTCATTTTAAAAAGCAGTACAGGGGGAAAGAAGATACTTTCACGAAACTAGGAGCAGTGCCAACAACTAATTTCACGGGGGATTTTAGATGGTCTAGAATCAATCAGTTCAAACAGAAAGTTTCTTCAGGGGCATTGAATATAATTTGAGCACATCTTTCGGCAGATTTTGGTGAGCCTTTATGTTAATAGGTACCCACACTTGGGGAAATGGAGGCATCCAGCAAGGGCAACCTTGCTGTGCTCTCCATATATCTGACAAAGCCAGTGAAGGCTTATGCGAAAATATATATTGAGTTTAAAGTGCTATCAGCCCACCAGGCTTTTTCATACTTTAGCTTCCCCCAACAAATATTCGTGCCACTGTGAATTTTACCCTTCTGTACCATATACACTTCAAAAATAAAGTACACTCCTTTTGATTAAGGGGGAAGGGCACTAGCCCAGTGATAGAAAACATGCTTGGTTTGTAGAAAGTCCATGTTTCAGTGCCCTGGAAGAGCTGGAAAATCTCAAGCCAGAAGCTAAGAAAGCCGCTGCTAATCAGTATTTTCAACACTGGGCTAGATGTGTTAAGAGTGCTATCCTACACATGTTGGGGCAGGAAAAAGGTCCATAAGTCCAAGCATTCTGCAGCCACCATGGAGCTGTAGGACTTTTTCTGTCAGAATGTACACAGGATAGCACCTTAAATAATAAATAAGGCAACAGTGGCTTACATATACTCAGTAAATCAAGGCAGTCCCTGTCCAAGGGCTTTTAATTAAAGAAAAACATGACATAACACACAAAGGGAATGAAGAAAGAAGAGGAAACCCTATACAGGAAGAGGTCAGATTGGCACCCTCTTTACTGTGTTTTACATAGGAATGAAGGTAGTTCAATTCTAGATTGTAAAGGCATTTAATGTTTGCTTTCTAATTTTAATGTCACGCTGTATGTAGTACATTAATTTGGGGATCCACTTAGTGGCTATTTAGACATTTATATGCTTGGGGGGTGTGAGTATGTATGTCTCCTCAGCCAAGGGTCACTAAGGGAAGCTGTCGGTTGGATTCATACTTAGTGTAGTTGAAATCAGACAGCTGCCACTGTGCTTTGTATTAAGTTGTGCATTTCTTCATTTGTTCAGGCATAACTAAGCATACAGTTTACACATTGAAAGCACACATAATCCTCTTGCTTCAGTTTGGCTGTCTATATTCCACATGATTGTTTCTGGAATTACAGTTTTGCAACATGTTTTTACATTACTACTGCTTTTACCAGTCTGACCAGTCTGAGTTGATATTTTCTATAATAGGTTCAAGTTCATGACTATTGAGCATGTGGGCATTCTAGGTCTGACCTAGAAAGGCAGATTTAGACATGGCAGTATATTTCTTATCTAGATGCAGCACCTCCCTTTCTATGCACAGCAGCGCTGGGTGAAACGCTAACAGAGCAACCCTGTGGCTACTGGACAGCATCTAGATGGCCATAGCATTGTTTATGAGGTTGGAAGAGCTGCATCCTTGTAGCTGGGAATCAGAGCTCCAATCCTATCTCCCTTGCAGCTGGTGCAGAAAAAGCAACAGCTGCATCTCAGGAGTTGTGAGAGCAACCTTGGAGAAGGGCTTTTGGGGTAATTCCAAGGGCAGGGAAAGCAGAAGGCTGCCACTGCCTAAGCCTCCTTACCTCCCACTGCAAGACACCTCACCCACATAGAACACCCATAATCTTCTGAGTTTCGAGGGTTACAAACATCCACATTGGATTAATTCCTGAGCGAGCTTTACAATGTAGTTCGTTCCTTTTGAACCCTGTGTGTAAATGTCTATAGCATTCACTTAGTTTTCTGTGCACACTATATGTAGTGTGCTTACATATAGTTTGTGGCATGTGAACTGATTAATTTCTTCCTGGGTTTCTATCCTGCAGGTAGTTCTTGGTGCATATAACCAAGCAGCTCTCAAAATAATTATCATGTATATTTTTTATTCTTCTGTGTTTAATAAAACTATCCCCTTTCAGAACAGACTCATGTGTATGTGTGCTTGTATATTATTGGGACAAATCTGTCAAGGCATGTTATGACCACAGTTAAAAGATTCCTTCCAAAGTTGTGTACTCTTACATGCATGTTCAAAGAGGGCATGTAAATAACAAGAGTTCTAACTGTGCTCAGTTGGAGATCCCTAACTCTCCTCAGAAGGTTACAGTTCCCAAGGAATTATGAAAGAAAAGAAAAGAAAAGAAAAGAAAAGGGCTTATTTAACCAGCGTTAGTACTATAAATGTAAATAAGACTAGGGAGTGTCCAGGCAGTACATTCCAAGCTGGCCTGCAAAATCTGTGTTCAGTGAATAAGATACTATCAGTAATTTTTATAGGATACTTTCCAGAGGAGGCTTTGATTGTGTCAATGCCCTGCCTTATTCATGGAATTTTACAAGAAGTCCACAATCTATTCATACCCCTTGCCATTCACAAGCCTTTCCACCACTTCTGTCTTTTTTCCTACCACAGAAAAATTAAGGAAGAAAAGGCAAAATCACTGTACAGTGCCTTATAATTGGAGCCCTCTGCCTGGAAGCACCTATTTTGCAAATCAAAATCTTCCTAGTAGCTCAAGTAACATTATCCCACGACCTAGGAAGTGATCTGATGCTGTTTAGAAAGACGTTACTGATATCAGCATGGAAATTGGAAATGCAGAAGTGTACAAAGATCTAATCATGCAACAGCTTTAGTGGGATAATGTTCTCCAGTTACTCCTTTTCCACTAACTTCATAGAAAGTAAACCCGTTAAACATATTGGGATATCATCTCTATACTGTCTTATTAGATACTGCTTTATCGGCTAAAAAGCCATCAAGGTGGCATTCTTCCAAGTATTCTTGCCTAGTGTTTGACTCTATAGTGGAAAAAAACATTTTTTAATCTAGTATACAAAAACATGATGTGCTAAGTGATGTACTAATTATAAGTCAATGTCATTACTGCTTGTTCTTTTATTTTGCCTTTGGAAAAAAGTTAGACCCTGTGTTGTGTTGTGTTGTGTTTTGCTTTGCTTTGCTTTGCTTTATTTTGGTGCAACACAAAACAACAAAACCACACCATTAAAGATGAAAAGGAAAAAAGAAATTTGGCACATCACAATTTTTGAATAAAATGTAGAAAGATTCATAGCATTGATTAAAAATATATCGATATATGTGTTAATATAGGGCTCAGAAGGGCAGTCAGGAATAGAACATTCTATGGGCTTTCATTCATAGGGTCACCATAAGTCTTGATGGCACATTACATATTAGTTGTAATAACAGAATATGTTGTTGTTACTCGCGAAATCGTGTCCGACCCATCGCGGCCCCATGGACAACATTCCTCCAGGCCTTCCTGTCCTCCACCATCCCCTAGAGTCCGCTTAAGCTCACACCGACTGCTTCAGTGACTCCATCCAGCCACCTCATTCTCTGCCATCCCCTTCTTCTTTTGCCATCTATTGTTCCCAGCATTAGGCTCTTCTCCAGTGAGTCCTTCCTTCTCATTAGGTGGCCAAAGTATTTGAGTTTCATCTTCAGGATCCGGC